GTCATAGCATACCCTTGTTTTTTCACCCAACAAGTGCACATTGAAAGCCTGTGTACACTGTGGTTGGAAACAGGGACCTGGACTAACTATGTTAGAACCCTAGCCTTGTCACTTTGAGCTGAATTGGTCTTAATTCCTCTGGGCCACAATTCCCTTATTTGTGAAAAGCAGGACAATAATGCTTCTCTCCTAGTGTGGCTCTGAGAATTAAATCAATTAATAAATGTAAAACACTGAGACCCACATCTGGCACACAAGCATTATTATTGTATGCTGGACATTTTTCATAGTTGTTTCCCACTTTAATCTCTTTAGGGCTGGTGGAGACAATGAGAGGAGAGATAGGAGCAGACAGATATGTGGATGTGATGATGGAGGAGTTCATGTTGGATGAGCTGAATCTGTGTCTCTTTTCAACACTGGTTCTCACACTCTACCGCATTGGTTTCCCCCTGAGGGCTGGTTAAAACACAGGCTGCGGGGGCCCTACCCTCAGAACTTCTGATTCAGTAGCCTGGGTGGAGTTTGAGATTCTGTATTTCTAACAATTTCTCAGATGCTGATGCTGCTGCTAGTCCAGAAACTACTCTGAAAACCACTGAAATAAGATAAGGAAGGATGCCAGAAATCCCGAGAGAAGGAAAAAGAAGGTGTACATAAAGAGATAGGAGTTCTGGAACAATTACAAGTAGGACTGAATTATGGACACCAGTAGAAAAAAAAAATCTGTTCGTTTAGTCAATCACCAAACATTTACTCACTGCCCACTGTGAGCAGGGTCCTATATTCACCAATCAGTTTTAAGGACCAAGATTTAACTGAGCAGAAACAACAGTGAGTTGAAGAGAAATATCTATTGAATTAATACAGAATAGCCTTAAAGAAAGAAAAGCCACTCTAATCGGTTTGGCTCAGTGGGTAGAGCATCAGCCTGCTGACTGAAAGGTCCCAGGTTCGATTACAATCAAGGCATGTACCTTGGTTTGGGTACATCCCCAGCGGTGTGCAGGAGGCAACTTATTGATGTTTCTCTCACTGACATTTTTAACTCTCTATCCCTTTCCCTACCTCTCTGTAAAATATCAACAAAATATATACTTTTTTTTAAAAAAAGAAAAGCCATGTTTCCACAGGCCTTAATTCTGAATCATGTCCCCATCAGGCCTAACTCAAGCATTATTATTTTTTAAATATGTTTTTATTAACTTCAGAGAGAAGGGTAGGAAGTGGGAAAGAGAGACAGAAACATCGATGAGAGAGACACATTGATCAGTTGCCTCCTGCACATTCCCTACTGGGGATTGAGCCCACAACCAGTCATGTGCCCCCATCTGGAATCAAACGGGGGTCACTGAACAACACTGGACAGGCTCAGGAATCATTTTTAAAATTGTGGTAGAATACACATAACATAAAACTTACTATTTTAAGTGTATATTTCAGTGGCATCGAGCACAGTCATATTGTTGGGCAACCATACCACCATTTATCTCCAGAACTTTTTTTCATCTTCTCAAATTGAAAATCCATACCTGTTCATCAATAAATGCCTATTTCACCCTCTTCCACATATCATGGCAATCACCATTCTACTTTCTTGTCTTTATGAATTGACTATTTTAGGTACCTTATATAAATTATATATTTTTGTCTTTTTGTGGCTAGCTTCTTTCACTTAACACAATGTCTTCAAGGTGCACCCATGTTATAGCGTGTGTCAGAATTTCCTTCTTTTTTAGGAATAAATGACATTCCACTACATGTATATACCACATTTTGTTTGTCCATTCATCCATCAATGGACATTTGGCTATTGTGAATAATGCTGCAATGAGCACCAGTGTACAAATACCTGTTTGAGTCCTACTTCCAACCTTTTTGGGTATATAACTTTAAGCATTATTTCAAAGCAGATAGAATTTGTTTGCATGAAGATTGAGATCACATGCTTCCTTCCACCCCTCACCTTTTCCTTTCTTAGAACTTTACCACTCACAACACTCAGGTACCCAGATCTTGCAGCTGCCTGAATCTGATAAATCATCCACCTCCAGGTAAATTAGCACAACAAGAACAAGGAAAATATATTTGAATGCATAATGGGCTGAATGCATGCCTAAGCTTTCCTTTTCCTGTAATGGAAAACTTAACTGACACACTGTCTCAGCACACCTGTGCCAGGAATTTATTCAATAATCTATGCCTGGCCAGCGTCGCTCAGTCGTTGAGCATCAGCCTATGAACCAGGAGGTCACAGTTCAGTCCCAGTCAGGGTACATGCCCAGGTTGCAGGCTTGATCCCCAGTGTGGGGCATGCAGGGGGCAGCTGATCAATGATTCTTTCTCATCATTGATATTTCTATCTTTTTTTTTCCCTTTCCCTTCCTCTCTGAAATCAGTAAAAAATATATTTTAAAAATACACTAAGGAAATTATTTAGTTTCTGAAATCAGACACCTGATAGAGTAATCTAGTCTTACTTTTTACTACCCTGTTTCCCCTAAAATAAGACAGTGTCTTATATTAATTTTTGCTCCCAAAGATGCACTAGGTCTTATTTTCAGGGGATGTCTTATTTTTCCATGAAGAAGAATACGGTACACATTTATTATTAAATGAAAATAAAGGAAATTTATTACCTGTATACGGTATGGTAGTATGGTAGCTGTCAACACAAACCAGACAAACTGTGAATCCTATAGTATCAAGAATTTACTCATTTATTCAATGACAATCATGTCATCATCTTCTGGAACATCATCATAACAATCCAATTCTTGAATTTCCTGGTGAATTTCTTGTGACTCCATTTCTTTCAGAATCAGTGGACCAAATCTCTCATGTTTAGCCTAGAGGGGGCCTTATTTTGGGGGGATGTCTTATATTTCACTCAGAAGGAAACCTGTAATTAGGTCTTATTTTCAGAGGATGTTTTATTTTCGGGGAAACACGGTAGCCATTGAGGCAAATGATTTAATCTCTCTAATTTCAATTTCCTCATCTATAAACTAGAAATAAAACTAAGATAAGGCAAGCTAATTAAATTAAGATAAACCAAGATAAGATAAAGCACTTAACCTAGTACCTGGATTATGGTAAGTACTCAAGTACATATCTACACTAATAAAAGAGAAAGATGCAAATTGACCATACCTCTATGATGCCCACCAGCCAACCAGGAGTGAGTATGCAAATTAACCCAACAAAATGGCATGTTAATTTGCATATTCAGGCTTGGAGCGAAAAATGAAGGCTCTGCCTGAGCGAAGACTGAAGACTGAAGGTTCTGCTGCAGCTGGAGCCAAGCCTGAAAGCTGAAGACTTGGCTCCACTGCAGCCTGGGGTCTTGGGCAATGGAGGAAAATCGGTGCTGGCAGCCAGGGGAACGAAGGCCTATTGCACAAATCTATATATATTAAAATCCCAGTGCATGAAATTCATACACAGGTAAGGTCCCTAGGCCTGGCCTGAGATTAGGGCCAATCTGTGGGGTGACTGGTGGGGCAATTGGGCCCCTCCCTCTGCTGGCATGTGCCTTGGCCAGCCTGGCAGTGCCCACTTGCCAGTCCCGTCCCCTGCTGCCACTGGTAGCCTCCCTCTGCAGGCGACCAGCGGGGTGATGAGGGGGGGCAGGGGCCCACTAGTGCCCCCCCTTGGCTGGTCTGGGGCCTACAGGTTGGGAACAGTTCCTGCATTGAGCGTCTGACCCCTGGTGGTCAGTGCACATCATATGAACTGGTTGTTCCACCGGCCATTCCTCTATTCAGTCAATTTACATATTAGGCTTTTATTATATATATATGTGTGTGTGTGTGTGTGTGTGTGTGTGTGTGTGTGTGCTGCTGTTAGTATTATTGTGGAGTAACTCTTTCAGATACATGCCAAGAAAGTTCCTGCCATCTAGGTATACAGAAGGGCACTACAATGAACATTGAGTTAACAAATCTACTAGGTCAGAAACCCGGAATCCTAAAAAATGAACATTTTTTTAAATCACAGGATTCAAAATTACAACCTGGCCACAAGAGATTAAAACATCTTTCTAAATGCGGGAAATATTTGGAGGCAGGGTCCTCTGTGAAGCCCATGTATTGTACCAGCATCCCCAGTGGCCAGCTATGAGTCTGAGGAATCTTCTGAGTTTGCAAATGCCAGTTAGAAATGAATTCCAGAACAATGGAAATTTGAGAGGAGTAATGGTTACCGCAAATTTGGCCAGCGCCCCTTCTAGGATTGCCCAGTCCTTCTGGGACATGTTCTGACAACTTGCCGGCCTTTTTTGAAGCTTCAGAAAAGGAATGATGTTCCTGCCACTTCCGTTAGCAGAATATTCCGCGGTGAAATATGACTCACTGTCAAGGCCCTCGCTTTTGCGAACCCCTTTCTTCTCCTGACCCACTTTCGTCGTGCTGTGCCCTTTTGTACAAAGTCAGATGAAGCCTCTCCGGGAGGAGCTTGCTTTGTGAGGACTGACATTTAAAGACCATTTCCACCTCTTAAACTCACTCCTGTTCATTTAGCCAAGCAAAGCATGTTTAATTCTTTTAATCTTCCCCCATAAATCAATCCCGTCATTCCCTTAATAGTCCTTCTCCTGTGCTTTGAACTCCCTCCAGTCTGGCCATCCTGAGCTCTTGTTCCGTTTACACTTGAGAATTGCCAGTCAATCATGAAATGGCTGTGCAGGAAAAACAGCCGGGCCTGCCCGGGTTCCAAGCGCTCTCACCGAGCTGACTGTCTGATGCCTAGAGGTACTGTAAGCCCAGAGAAAAAGCCCTGCCTAGTGGCAAAACCCATAAGGTAGAGTTGAGGCATTTGCTGCCTACTCCATGATGGGTCTTTCAAGTAGACCTGGCCCACCTCGCCAATGGTCAAGGGAATTGCACGGGAAGGCACCTCAGATACCTACACCCCTCATTTTACTCAGGCTTCTCAATTTGTCCACCTATCACTTGGCTTCTATCTACTAGGACCATGGGTAAACTCAGAAAGGATCTTACCTGGAAGGTGCCAGCATGATCTTCTTCCTTATCACCTTCTCTGTGTTCTTTGAGGGCAATTAGTGTAAATCCTCTGAAGTAGGAGGGAGTAGCAGCTGAAAGTGTCACTGTGGAGAGAGAAGAAAGCAGATTATAAGCACAAGGAATCAACTGCCTTCTATTTGTGAAATGGATAGATGTGAGTTCTCCATAAGCATTCCAGACCTGTGGATTAGAGGGGCAGTGGACAGTAGGAAAGATTTGTCCAGTTAAGTAGTGAACTCTCACTCTCTCCACCCAGTTCCCTCTTAAATTTCAAAACTTGCTAAATGCCTGAATTGCTATCTCTTTTAGGAATCATTGAACCAACCAAGGCTGTGGTGAGCTCTCTCCCAGTAACCATGATTTGATAGAGAGTCCCTGGTGTACAATTCTAATCTTGACAGTTATCTAATGATATACTTCCATTAGATTGACCCAAGGGAAATCTAGCTGCTCACAGCACAAATTCACACAGACTGTCTCATGTTCTGTAAAACACATTTCCTTTCTCTGTAGGCACTCAGCTAGGCCACATTGTCAGCCTCCCTTGCAATTAGGTGGAAAGCATGAGCAGACATGATGCATGCTACCTCCAACCTGGCCCATATACATTTTCCATTCGATCCTCCACTCTTCTCTGTTGTCTCTGCCTGCCAAATGCAGGGGATCTGGCAGAGGACTGGTGTCCCAGGAGAAGGAGAAGGAGAAGGAGAAGGAGAAGGAGAAGGAGAAGGAGAAGGAGAAGGAGAAGGAGAAGGAGAAGGAGGAGAAGGAGAAGGAGCCACAAGATGGAAAGAACCTGGGATTCTGAATAACCACAAAGAATCACTCACTAACCAGAGACAGCCACATTGTATTTTGCATAAACTGGAAATGAACTTATATTTATGGGTTTTTATGATAGCAACTGGGGTTATGAATTTACATTATACTTTTCCTCTTCACATTTACCTAGAAAACTATGTTTTAATTAAAATCCAGTTCAAGTGCCTTCTCAGCAATGATAGTCAGCCCTCTTTTTGTACACCTAATCTCCTGAGATGAAAATCTTTACAATAATTTTTGTACTGAATTGAAATTCCCTTTTTACCTGCCTTCTCCATTGGACTGTCCATTAATGCTGGAGAGGGACTGAATTTTTAACTATCTTTGTATCCCCAGCACTTAGCACAGAGCCTGGCATCTAACAGACACTCAATTCAAGTTTCTTGAAATTTATATAAATAGAGGCTTAAATTACTTTACTCCCTGATCAAAGTGCTAAGATTCTGCTCTTTAAACATGGAATTACAGACTATTAGGGCCTCAAGCTATCCATAGTATGGATATCCCACAAGTGTTGGTGACATAAAAAAAATTATGATCAATTCATTTAAAATATAATATTTATGCATCATCCATTCCAGCTTTCCAACTTTACAGATAGGAACCAAAGACACAGAGAGGTCAACAACACCCCCAAGGTAGTAAGACAACCTAGAGTTGCACATACTGAGTATAGTCATAGTATGGATATCCCACAAGTATTGATGACATAAAAAAAAAGTATAATCAATTCATTTAAAATATAATGTTTATGCAATTCTGATAAGCAACCCCCTATTGGGGAAGGGCATTTATTGTTCCTCAAACTAGTTTCAGTCCTGAAAATGAAGAACCCTAAAACTCCCAAAACTAAAACCACCATCTTGGATAATATTCCGTGATCTATGAGCCACCAACATAGTGACATCTCAGAGAACTTAGAGACACAAAGATTGCAAATCTCATGCTGTGATTGGTCAGTTCATCCTGGAAAAGTAAAGGAGCATTCTTATTGGCTACTGATGTCTATAAAAAGTCAGGTAGAAAGTAAGAAAGCAAGCATGAGTAGGGAAAGCACTACAAAGTACAGAGAGAACATTGTGGTGCTCAGCAGTGGCAAGCAGCCACTGGATTGTGGTTATGATGTCAGGAGAAAGAGCTGAGATCTCTGAGGAACAGGCGGAATGCCCCAAAACAGTCTGAAGCTATCACAATTCTGGAAGAAGGGGAGCAGACAATAAAGGTGCACTGCCTAGATCCCCTCAAACTCCTTTTTACCATTTCAAAGTGCCTTTGACGCTGATGTGACTTTGCTTCTATTAGCCAGCACCTGTGACCCTCAGATCACTGGAGCCTGCTCTGCCTAATATGAAAGTTCTAGCATCCTGCATCAGAAGAGACAATGCTGAGGGGTACCTGCCACTTCAAAATGGCCCTCCAGGATCACACTGAAAGTCTCCTTAAGGACTTCTCCTGGGGTCACAGCCTGTAGGGGGGACTCTTCCCCCTCCATCTTGCTTCCCCACTCCCTTATTAGTTTTCCCTGGGAGCACTTCCTTAATAAGTCACCTATACCCAAATCCCCACCTGAGGGTTTGTTATGTATTAAACTGTATTCTCCAAAAATATATGTTGCAATTCCCTCCCCCCACCCACCCCCAACTTCCCCCACTCTCATGCCTGGAAATGTGACCTTATTTGGAAATAGCATCTTTGCAGGTGTAATTGGTTTAGAGGAGATCATACTGGATTAGCTCTAAATCCAATGTGCCTGGTGTCCTTAGAAGAGACCTAAAGACACACGGAAAAACGCCAGGTGATGATAGAAGCAGAGACTGGAGTGATGCATCTACAAGCCAAGGAGAACCATGGAGGAAATGCCCCCTCCAAGCCTCAAGAAGGAACCAACTCTGCTGACTCCTTGGTTTCAGCGCTTTAGCCTCCGGAAATGTGAGAGAACGCATTTCTGTTGTTTTAAGCCTCTGGTTTGTGGTATTGTGTGTGGCAGCCTAGGAAATGAATATATAATAGTACGCTTTTGGGGAAGCCAACCTGAGGCAGATAGTCAACCCTTGCTTCACATCCATTGGCTTCTGCATAAAGCTCACTCTCCATAGATTAGCAGGCCCTTGGTCTCTGCTACTCCAGCTTCACCAACCGCATTCCCATCCGTCCTCCCCCCCCCCCCCCCCCCCACACACACACACACTATATTCCAGTCATAGGACTCACTCACTGGCAGTTTCCTGGAAAGCCTTATCACTTCACTCTGCAGTATTTTTTTCTCCACAAGCTCCTCATATGCCTGGAATGTTCCACTTACTCCATTCCTAACAAACTTCAAAAATAAGCTAAATTTTCACCTTTTGTGTGATGTGTCCTCTGATTTTCTCATCACTACCTGGGTGCTCTTTTTTCCTAGATCCTGTTAAGATTAAAAATACCTATACAATGGGCATAATAATGGCACTTACTTCAAAGTATCGGTATGAAACATAAATGAATTAATATGTGTAAATTCCTTAAAATCATGTTTGGCAAATAATAGATACTTAATAAATATTAGCTCTTATTATTATCATCAGTGGTGAGATTATCCCATTAACTATATTTTGTGTGTGTGTTTTTAACCTATTTTTAAATCCTTCAAAGATGAGAACCACATCTGAACTCAGCACCATAATTGACACAGAACTGATGTGCAATTAAACCTATTGACTTGTGTTCATGGATTGATAAATTCAGTGTTATGAAGATGTCAGGTTTTCTCAAATTGATTTATAGATTTAATACGATCTAATTAAAATCCAACAGTGTTTTTATGATATTGAGAAGCCAATTCTAAAATTTATATGCAAATGCAAAGAGCCAAGTATATCTAAGACGATTGAGAAAGAGGTAAAAAGTTGGAGGGTTTATAGTGCCAGATATTGATGTATACATCTATAGAGATTAAGCCAGTTTACTAAAGCAAGGGAAACAACAGGCCAGATGAACAGTTTGGAGTCCAGAAAAGGTTTCACAAATAAACTTGATTTATGATAAAGAATGTACCTCAGAGCCATGGGAGAAAGAAAATACATTCAATATATGGTACAGGACAACTGAATAACCATTACTGAATGCCTTATAGTAATGAAAATGAACAAAATGCTGCTACATACAGCATGGATAAATCTCACAAACATAATCTTGAGTGAAAGAAGACAAAGAATATAAAAGATATGATTACATTTGCATATCCTATATAATAAAAGACTAATATGCTAAGTGTCCAGGTGTCCTGTCATCGGTTCAACCAATCAAAGCATAATATGCTAATGTATGCTAAGGCTGCTCAACCACTCCCTATGATATGCACTGACCACCAGGGAGCAGATGCTCTGACCCGTAGGTTAGCTTGCTGCTGGGGTCTGGCTAATCAGGGCTGAGCAAGATGGGCCAGACACACCCTGGACATGAGCAGTTCCTCCCCAGCTGGCCAACCTCTCCCATCCTCTGCCTGATTGTTCACCAGGGGGTCCCTCAGCCTGGCCTGTTCCCTCTTGCAATCCAGGACCCCTGGGGGATGTCAGAGAACTGGTTTTGGCCGAATTCCACAGGCCAGGCCAAGGGACTCCACTGGTGCACGAATTTGTGCACCAGGTCTCTAGTATTTATATAAAGTTCAAAAACAGGCAAAATAATCTATGATGTAGAAGTCTAGATAGCAGTTACACTTATGGGGAAGGAGATTGAGTACTGATTTGAAAAGGTCACAGGGATGCTTCTGGAATGCTAGGTTTGTTCTATTTTTTTATCTGGGTGTATTCAATGGCATAAGTCATTAAGCAGCATGATTAGTGAACTTTTATGTATGTAAATTACATTTTTATTAAGTGTTTCTGAATGATAAAAGTTCATCTTAATATATATATATATATATATATATATATATATATATGCAGCACCCTTAAAGGACTAGCCATAAACTCAGCTTCACAGAATGCTGCATTCCTGTAGGTGCTAGAAAACTAAGGTTTGACTCTACCTTATAGAATACAACCCACAAGAGATTGAGCTCAGTGGTGTTTCAATCCATAATTATCACAGGTGATGATGGTATTACACAGTATATAATTTGAAGGAAAACAGGAGATCCTTATCTCTCAGAGGACCCCATTATATGACTCTCCTGAAAGGAACAAATATGCAGTGTATTCTGAGTTCCAGTAATGATTAAATATGGCAATAAATAATAGAATTTTCTCTCTAATAACTTCTTCCAAGTTCCTCCCAAGAG